AAGGAAGGAAGGAAGGAAGGAAGGAAGGAAGGAAGGAAAGAAAGAAAGAAGAAAGTCAAAAATTGCTGGGAACTGATGGTTCAAATCTGTAATCAAGAGGCTAAAATCTTAGGATTGCAGTTTGAAGCTAGTCTGGGCAGAAAAATCCATGAGATTCTTTTTTTTTTGGTCCGGTTGTGGGGCCTGAACTCTGGGCCTGGGCACTGTCCCTCAGCTCTTCAGCTCAAGGCTAGTGCCCTATCACAGCGCCACTTCCGTCTTTTTTCTTTTTGCTTATGTGGTGCTGAGGAATCGAACCCAGAACCTCAGGCATGCAAGGCAAGCGCTCTAACACTGATTCCCAGCCCCAATCCATGAGATTCTTAGCTTCAATGAGCCAGCAAAAAATCAGAAGTAGATGTATCGCTCAAGTGATAGAACATTAGCATTGAGCACAAAAGCCACGTGAGAATACAAGGTTCTAAGTTAAAGCCCTAAGCACACACACACACATACACATGCACATACATACACACAAAGGATATCTGTTATCTCAGAGTAAAAATTCTAAAAGCAGTGAGGACTTTAAAAATGATTTTAACCAAGCATGGTGGTACATGCCTATAATTCCAACACTTAGTAAGCTGAAGCAAGGGGACTCTCACATTTGAGATCAGCCAGATTCTTTCTCATGATGTGCTTTTCTCAAGTGCTTACTTACACTGTTGGTGCAACCTTTCTTGGAGGTGTTTTATTCAGGATCATCCACAGCTGCTTTTACTTATTTTGTGATGATTACTTTGGTTGAAATGGAAACATTATAATCAGTAATTCTACTTTGCTAGACTCAATTACTATAATTGTTATATGAAGTAAATCAATCATTCCCCTTGCAAGGGGACACACACACACACACACACACACACACACACACACACACACATTGTAGAATGCCAGATCTTGGAGATCTTTCATCTCTCCTTGTGTTCCTTGACTCACAGAGAAGTAGACGGAGTGAGGGACCAGTCTTCCACCATATTCTTACCAGTGGGGCTTTGTGAAGCTCCCGTTTACTAGGCAAAAATGAATGCATGTAGATCTGAGATGTATACACACAGAGCCACAGTCAGTGCATCATTATGTATAGTATTCTCAGAGGCCACAGGTAGCTAGCTAATGCCTCCTCAGCAGCAAAACTTGGCTGACCAACACATATGTCAAACTCATTATTTTTTGCCATCATCCTTCCCTCCCAGTAAAATTCCCACTTCTTCTTTCAGTAAAAGACACCTCTGTTGGGGGCTGGGAAGGTGGCTTAGTGGTAAAGCGCTTGCCTTGCATTCTTGAGGCCCTGGGTTCGATTCCTCAGCACCCATAAGCAAAGCCGGAAGTGGTGCTGTGGCTCAAGTGGTAGAGCGCTAGCCTTGAGCTGAAGAGCTGAGGGGCAGCGCCTAGGCTCAGAGTTCAGGCCCCATGACCGGACCCAAAATAAAGCAAAACAAAAAGACACCTCTGTTTACCTAGTTGCTCCAGCACAAATCCTGGAGTCTTATGTCTCCCTTACCATGCCCCTCACCTAATCCACTGGCAAATCATGTCAGTTCTGCCTTCAGATGGTCCTGAACCCAGCTAGTTTTCTCTAACTTCTTGATTACTACTCTGTTTAAAACCCCTCTCTTCTATGCCTGTCTGTTGTGACAGGCTCTGAATGTCCTTCCTCTCAGCTGTCCTCAGATCATATTGCATTGTTCCCTCATTTAGCACCTCTAACACTTGGTGTTTTTTTGGAGGGGGGGTGGGGTGAGGATGGAGACAGCCCTGGGGCTTGAACTCTGGGCCTATGCATTTGTGCTCAAGGCTAGCACTTATCAGTTGAACCACAGTTCCACTTTGGCTTTTATTGGTATTATAGTAGAGGTAAGAGTCTCACAGCCAGGTGCCAGTGGCTCACACCTGTAATCCTAGCTAACCAGCAGGCTGAGATCTGAGGATCATGGTTCAAAACCAGCCCAGACAGGAATGCCTATGAGACTCTTATCTCCAATTAACTACCAGAAAACTGGAAGTGACGTTGTGGCTCAAGTGGTGGAGTATTTTCCTTGAGCTGAAGAACTGAGGGATAGCACCCAGGTCCAGAGTTCAAGCCCCATGACTTGACAAAACAAACAAACAAACAAACAAAATGAAAAGAGCCTCACAGACTCTGTTGTCCAGGCTGCCTTCAAATCGTGATTCTCAGATCTCAGCTTCATGAGTTCCAACACTTAAAAAAGCCTTATTTCTTTGCTGTAGCTTTCTAGAGCCTGCACAGGCTGGCCCTCCCTTGATTTTAAAATTTTTTTCATGTCACCTTTTTGGCATGTTCCTGTGACACAGACCTTCTGATGTTAAGCTATTTCCCTCATTCTCTGATCTCTGACGAGAGAGGCCTTTCATAACCAGCCTTCTTAACCAGCATGCATACAAACTCTACCATTTTATCCCATTACCTGATCTATTTTCTCTAGCACACCATTTTGTGTTTGTGTGCTAGCCCATTTTTGGTTCATATTCTCCACAAGAATAAGGGTTCTGTTACGGCATGGTCATGTCTGTTGTATAATACCTGCTTGAGTAAACAGAGGCATGGCTCAAGTGGTAAAGTGCCCGGTAGAACAAAAAAGCTAAGCAAGAGTACAATGCTGCTGGGTGCTGGTATCTCATACCTTTAATCCTAGTTACTCAGGAGGCTGAGATCTAAGAGTCATGGTTCAAAGCCAGCTCCAGCAGGAAAGTCCATGAGACTCTTATCTCCAATTAAGCACCAAAAGCTCAAGGTGGAACTATGGTTTAAAATGGTAGAGCACTAGCCTTGTGCAAAAAAGCTCTGGGACAGTGCCCAAGGCCTTGAGTTCAAGCCTCAGGACTGGCACACAAGAAAGAGCAATGTCCTGAGTTCAAGCCTCAGTGTTAGCACAAAAGTATAATAAATAATAACACTACTTGAATGAAAGAGTGAATGAATCTTTACAGGAACAACAGATGAAATCCCAAGGAACTTGAAGAACATGAAAAAAGGACAAAGCACAAATTTTTAGAGAAATATTGAAATTGAAGGCACAAAAGCCCTTGGTATTTGAGCCCCACTTAACCTTTAGGCATGAGGACAACATAGTTCACATTTGGAAACCCAGCAAGGAAAAGTGTCAAACTGGGCTCCTTTCTCTACCCAACTATAAGCATGTCTTTGAAGAGCAAACCTGAGCAAAAACCCTGGGCAGACAATGAAAAAGCAATCTCTCAATCCAAGGAGGTGCTGTCCCCTGATTTCTGAGGGCACTCATTTAAAGAGGGCTCAGACCAGGATCCTGGGTCCACTGCAGTCCTGAGACTCTGTGTCCTCTGAGCTGAGACAAAGCGACAGCCCTGGGACACCCTGGGAATCTGCAGGGGCTGCTTATGGCTTCTCCTTCAGAAGTCAAGGCACAATTCTTAAGATAACAGTGAGATGCTCTGGAGTGACCCCTTTTATTAGGCTCACCATCTTAGCCACAGAAGGACCATAGAGTTTGTCCATAGCCTGGAATACTCAAAGGCCACAGTGCTGAAAAGAGGGCAAGTCTTTAGGTCTCTTTGTCACCATTAATCCTGGTCCCTGCTGGTTTCTCCTTTTTGCATTAGAAAAGCTTTCTTGTATTTTT